TCAGTCATACCAGCCTGACCGAGAAACGTTCGCTTCCAGCCAAGACTACAGTAATCTTGACCTCCATCTTCAAGTGGCACTGGCGATCTTGTGACAACCTGCTACAGTAAAACTTACAATATTTCGTAAAAGGAAATAAGCAAGCCGACAGGCTTGCAAGCATGGATACTATGTAGGGACGACGAGAAATGAACCGGGCCGACAGGCTTGCAAGCATGGAAATCGTGTAGGGACGACAGGAAATAAACCTGGCCGACAGGCTTGTAAGCATGGATACTATGTAGGGACGACGAGAAATGAACCGGGCCGACAGGCTTGCAAGCATGGATATTGTGTAGGGACGACAGGAAATAAACCTGGCCGACAGGCTTGTAAGCATGGATGTTGTGTAGTGACGACGGGTAATGAACCAGGCTGATAGAATGCAGGTTCTACGAGAACACGTTTGCAAGAAACAAATGATGTCTAAATTTGCAATCATGAACAGACTGCAAGAACGCGAAGTCAAAATGGGCGACGCCAGACAACGGCATTGAGCAAGAAGACAAAGACGAAGAATAAACAACGCAGAACTGGGTTTGTCAACCGCTTCACCTGTATGATTTACTGAGGAGGGGATGTGTGCGTTTATAGACTGGCTTGTTAAATCTATAATAAGGGTAATTTATCAGTTAACATAAATAAGCAGGTTCTATATTCGATAAATATTCAGTTAATGTTCTTGCTGTATTGGAACTAACTCCAAAGATCTCAGTCTCTTATTCTGATTAAACAGTCTCTCTGATTGAAGAATCGATATCACAAACACCGGGTTATGTTTTCCTCAGCAAATGTGTTAAAAAGTGTCGGTGCTACACACCGATTATACAGCCGTCGTTCTCTTTCTTTAATACATTTATCCTTGACTGATTCAGGGCTGTCTTGACAGCATTATAAACCCCTGGAAAACCAGTGTGCTGAGGCCCCTTCAACAACCACTCACAAGAATAAAATGCAAAAAGTCCATAATATTTAACATACATTTATTTTATTGACACTTCAACAAAACTGGGGGGGGGGGGGGGTGTTACATTTTCGTTTTAATATTATAAAGAAATAATTTAAACGTCACACATATATATTTAATTTTTTTTTACATAAGGCAAGTCATTGTACATATACTGATTAGCATTTGCCCTATGCTCGTGCCCCACCCCTCTTCTTCCCTCGGCAAGTGCCCAACGGACCCATGTGTTAAGACGGCTCTGGTCTAATCCCTCTTTTACACACACTTTCACCTGTTATTTCATCTAAGAACGCGCTACTGTCTATACTAACTCCTAGACTGAAGCTTGCCTATCCCTGATATTGTCTTACCACTTGTATCGCTGTCTGTCTCCTTTAACTTTCCCATCCAGTAAGGTATTTATAATAGTATTATTTCTAAGTGGCCAACCTGACTGTGTTACCTGATGTTAGTAACCAATTAGGTGCTCTCCACAGATGTAAGGTTTCAAAAACGCAGGTGGGTAGGAGAAAACAAACAACAACCACAGTTATCTACGCTGCAATATCTGCGCCCATCAGCCCAAAACATCTGATTTCAGCAAACAATTCTTCGCTTTTCACAAGCTTGTAGAGTGGGTCCTATTATCTCCTTACTCCTACAACACGGCCCTCCGGAACTAGCATGAGAAAATCATGTAAAGTGAAAGCGAAATATTCCACGTGGACAGAGGAATAAACATCTATTCTAAATTAATCATCCCGTAGCAGGTCCTTTGCAGAACGTCGCTCTCATCACAGTCTGCCTGAAAGAAACTCGGTCTCTCTGCAGCTCTTCCGCCTTTTACCCTTTCATACTCAAGGCATCACTTATATCCTGTGCCCATTTTCGTGTCGGTCCGCGCCTATCCCTCCTTCCTGGTACCATGCCTTCTGCTATAATTTTTTTTCCCAATCCGTCGTGGCGCTTGATATGACCAAAATATTTCATCTTCCGAGACAGGATTCTGTTTATTAGCCAATTCTTCCTTGATGTTCAGATCTTTCAAGATGTCAGTATTTCTCCTCTTGTTCGTTCAAGATATTCTGAGAATCTTTCTATAGACTATTGTAAATTAGGAAACGCAAATCATGAAGCAGGAGAGGGGAAAAATAGAATTTTACTGTTTTCAAGATGGCAATACTTAGCGCTTGCTGTGTTAATGGACCCCTAGAAAACTTCCAATTTTCTACTCTTATCAACATACATATACACATACGGTATAGAGTTATTAACATAGACACATATAGATGTTCTAAAACAGCAGTCACAGGAATTCATACGTGTTTCTTACACACACAGTCTCGATCAAATGTTCAATCCTATGATGAGAGAGCAAACATTTTGACAGCCGTTAAAAAAAAAAAAAAAACACACAATGTAATCAAAATGAATGGAAACATGGGGGGAAGGGGGGAATATGCATACTGCATTCATGATCACTGCCCTATGGGATAAAGTTTCCTTTTTTCGTCGATTGCCAAAGTGCCGTCTCCACACTGAAGGTTGGCTGCAATGGATCTCAGTCTTCCAATCCTCATTATACTATTCGATCCCCCAGACTGAAATGTATCCATCTCTTGATGTTATCCTCCCACTTGTATCGCTGCCTGCCTCTTGCTTGTTTGCAATAAACTTGTCCATCGGTGTGGTTTTAGAAGTGGTATGTCTTTTAAAGTAGCCAAAATATTTCATGTCTCTTTTTTATCTCCTTCAGCAACTGCTCATTCCGGTTTTTTTTTTTTTTTTTTTTTGCTTTCTGTTGCACCTTTCTCGTGAATCGCCTTAAGTTCACGCCCCCCCCCCCCCCCATGTTCAGCAAGAACGTCTACAACAGAAGTGATGTCATCCACTCCCTTGTCTGAGGATTCTGTGTGCAGCACATCCCCAGCTGCAGGAGTTGGAATCTGCACTGAGACGGATTTTTCCTTTATAACAGACTGTGACTCTAAGATAGAAGATGCAGGTTCAAATGGGTACCATGTTATGCCCTGAGAGACACTACAACTGGCAGCTAATCCGCGGGCCACTTGCTTAGACCTCGGAGGGCCGGATTTGGCCCGCAGGTCACCAACTATATAGCCCTGCCCTGGGAGGTAAAGGCGGTCGGCGTGATGCTGACCACATCACTCAGCAAGTGTCAACAGGTCTATAAAAATATGAGCACCGTAATTTTCAAACAATATCCTGTTGAACCCCAGGTTTATAACTGAGATATATAGTGCTAACTGACATCTCAAAATATATATTTGTTTTTTTTTATATTTATATATCACATAATTATTTAAATAACAAATATGTCATATATACTGTTTTACACATTGCTGTGACTTGGGTTATGATTAAGATAGAAACTGCTATAAATATTTCGACAATCTCACAAACAATGTGTCATCAACATGTTGGATTTATTATTCCCTTAGTGAAACAGTTGATTATTTTCCTCGATTTTATCTTTAGGGAAAACTTTTTCAAAGATGACCCGGGCGTTCTTTACCCTTCTGTATATGGATTTTAGTTGCAGTAATAAATTGCTTGACCTTGTCAGCAGCTCCCTGGGTATGAATCTATTGGTCAGATTTTCTTTTTAAATGACCTTGGCTCCCAGGTCCACCCAGCCTTAACTCTGTGAGTCCCAGGGGGTTTAGCATCAGAGTCCCAAGGGGAAGTAAAGAGTGACTAAAATCGGCGCATCTTGCGTTCACTGGGCTTCTAGTTAGGAACCTATGAACGTATGATACGTTCCTTGGGACTCAAAGAGTTAAACTCTTTTGAGTCCCAGGGAGCGCATAATAAGTTCACAGGTTCTTACCTAGAAGCCCAACGAATGCATGGTGTGTCGATTTTAGTCACTCTTTACTACCCCTTATGCCTGTGGTGCTAAACCTCCTGGGACTCAAAGAGTTAAATGGGTACCAGGTGAAGTCGTGGAATGTAAAGATGGACAGCACTATGTTGACCACACCCCCCACTGAGTGCCAGTTGGCGTTTAAAAAATATATATAATAAGTCTAGCATTATATGCCGATTGTCTTTCTCCGCGCAAAATTGCAGGGAACACCTGGCTTGTGTAGCTGTTATCATCATCATGTGCCTTGCCATCTAGTGTCGACATTTATGCATTTCTACAGATCTAGGTCTTTGGTGTTCTGGTCAATTCCACTGATGATATTCCTCCATACCACTGTCTTCAGCCATCCACCTTCATTTCTCTTGGCCATCTTCTGCCTCTTCTACTAGTGATCTTTCCAGATGTTCAGTATTTTCCAGTGCTCCTTTTCTCATCATATGACCAAAGAATTTTGTCTCCTTCCCGTTGTTGTATACAATGTTCTACTTTCATTAGCCATTTCCATGCAATCATTGTTAATTTATTTTGGCAGTTCAAAGTATTCGCAACACTCTTCTCAAGAACCGCATCTCATTTGATTACAAACTCTTCTTAGTTTGTTTGCTCACATTCTAAGATTCACTGCCATACAACAGAACAGGCTCGATGTAACATATCAGCACTCATTCTGATATTTAATGAAAGTGATTTATTACATAAGATACTTGTCATCTTCTGAAATGCTGCCTTTGTTTGGCAAATTCTGCTTTTAATTTCTGTTACACCTCGTCCATCTGATGTTATGAATGTAGCTGTTAGTTATGGATGCCCTAATTACCGCTTGTTTGGAAGTTGAACAGGGTATCATGGCTATCTACCTTGTGGTTCTGTTGTCCAGATTGATATTCTTTCATCTCAGGAATGGTATAGTCCATCTGATGTTATGAATGTAGCTGTTAGTTATGGATGCCCTAATTACCGCTTGTTTGGAAGTTGAACAGGGTATCATGGCTATCTACCTTGTGGGTCTGTTGTCCAGATTGATATTCTTTCATCTCAGGAATGGTATAGTTAACCTACAGGTAGCAGCAGCCAGGACCGATCATATGCCAATGCACAACTTCCAAGTTTAGAGACCTTTATATACTATACAGGGTAAGCAGTTGTGTTAAAGGCAGGATAGGCGCTGGACAAATACTGTGATGATTCGTTCTGAAGACTCCTGGACATAGCAGGAGGTAGCTGGTCCAAGTGAAGGAGAGCAGTCATCCAAGTGTTGACTGCCACATTGACTACCAGGACACACAGGATATTGAGGATGAATCCAGCCTTTGCCTGCATGATTAAGACACAGAACAATTCTTCATTCATGAACAAGTATGAGAACAGCTAAATAAGTAAGCTCCTCTGCTTCTTACAGAATAAAGCCTGCCATATGATATCACAATGTCTAGTTTGAGAATGGAGGTGGAGGCAGTAACGGCTGCCATCCGCTGGATTTAGAATCAGCTGTACACACGTAATTGTAACTGACTCACAGAGTATGGTGAGAAAGGTGGAGATAAGCATACTCCATGCAGAGCTGCAAGCATCGCTTCAGAGGTCCCGGGTAGTTAGCGTACTTTGGATATTTTCTCCAGGTCATGACGGTGCAATGGGAAATGAGCAGGCAGATAAACTGGCCAGGTCTGCACCACTTAGTGGTGAAATTATGTATGACAAGCTAGATGATGTAAGGGCCTTTTCGGAGCGAGTGAAAAGTGTGGAGGCACAAACAGATCAATACAATCTGAGGAGAAAGGCGTTGTGGGAAGTTACTAGGGGACCTGGCCAACGCTCTACACATTGTATGGATGTACAGTCAGACAGTTACCAGTACCATCAGAATTGGAACTCTTTGCTTGCTGCTGAAGATGGGGGACAGATCACTTATGGGGGTATCCCGAGTACTATGATGTCGATTCCTAATTCAGCATTCAACATTCTTGGCATTCACCAGCTGTTAACTCCAGAGCCAATTTCTAATTATTTGTCCACCTCGGGACCTTAGTCTGGTTATAGAACTAGTGTTTTGTGTGCACATCTGTTTTACAAATCTGGCTTATTCAGACTGTTAGTTCTTTAGCTCATCGGTTATTGTACTCTGACATCAAAGGAAACATTCCCAAATAGTCAACTTTTACCCTATGCTTTTAAGGCAGTGTCTCAATTCCCCCACCCCCTCCCCCAGATGGGAAAATCAATCAATCATTGAGGTGCCATCTCCACAATGAAGGTAGGCTGTAATGGACCCCCCACATGTTCCAACTCTTGTTCTGCTTGTAAACTCTCTGCGACTGCTGTTGCCCATCTCTTCATGCTATCTTTACACATGTATTGCTGTCTAGCAGTGGCACTGCGACATACAAATTCTCTCTCTCTCTCTCTCTCTCTGTGTATGTGTGAGTGCGTGGGTGCGTGTGTGTGTATATGTGGGTGGGGGCCTTAGTCCACTTATTTTTTTTTTGGTGATATGTGTGTGTGATGTTCTGTTTTTTTTTAAGGTAAATTTTACTTCAGTAGTTTGCCATTTCTTTTCATACGGTCAACTCTTGGTACCGCTATCAAAACCAATGCAAGACAAATTGTCCGCAGCTGGGATCGAGCCCAGTACCCTATCATTACGAAGTGCCTTTGCAAACATTTTTATCTCAAGTCTCTCCAAAAACTCTGTATTTGACTGTTTTCTTCCTCCTGGAACAGGACCAGCTCAACATTTTTAAACTGCTTGTCCACTGTCCAGGTCTCTGGACCATACAGCAGGGTTAGAAATACATAATGGCTTGGGTCTGTCAACCCCTGGAATTAGAGGGTTTAAAATGACTTTGACTGACTGGTTGGCCATGGCTAAAAATTGTACCAGGTAATGTCTTTGGAGTCGGCTTTGTGGTTAGTCGATATAAACGCTTCGTAATGCCTTTACTTACTAAGGTCCTTTACTTACTGTACCAACTATCATCATGTGCCTCATGCATTACTGGCATAAAAAAAGTACTTTACTTACTATACTATCATCATCATCATGTGCCATGACAGACTGTGTAGGCACTCAAGTCTCTCCTCAGATCTCCTTCCTTGGTATTTTAAAGCAATTCCACTGACGATATTACACCTGACTTTCTCTTTCTTATGGCTGTATGTAGTTATAGTATGCTAACGATACTAAAATCCAATCACTCACCATATCCTGAACCTTGACATGGCCAATGGCAAACACAATCGCATTTGGTGGCGTGGCTACAGGAAGGATGAATGCCATGGAGCAGGCTAGCACGGCTGGGTACAGCAGGTACAGCGGGTTCATCTGTAGTGATATTGCCTGTCGATGAAGTCGTTGTCAAAGGTCAGATCCCACAAACAAAACCAGAAAATTTTTTGTGTGCAAAATGAAGAGATTACCGTGACTGAATTTTTTTTTTTTTTTTTCTGTTTTTTAATTTTAATGTTTCCCCTTTAGGACTGCAAACTGTAGGATTAACAGCTCAAGGATGAGAATCAAACAGATGCAAATCTTAGAAACTGTGTTTAAATGTACAGCTATAAAGCCGTTATATTAGGGCACCACAAAATGGGTAGGAAGTAACATGTAGTCCAGTGTGGGTGGGATTCAATAGGAACCACTGGAATCTTCTTCATCTTAGGCTCATTTGAAACAGATTATCTAAATCTTCAATGTTGTCTCTAGTATGAACTTCAATGTCTGTTGTGATTCACTCAGCCCCCTGTAAAGTTTGCACCTGAATGTTTCTTGGTATGGCCTTGATATGTTGTATTTGGGGCAGTCTGGGAGGACAGAAAGTGCCAGCATTCTGATGAAGATCACCAGGGGACAGGTCCCAGAAATCTTGTTCAACCTATAGGGTTATAATTAGGGCCCCTGACCACAGCCGGGAACAATAACAAAAAATTGTGTCCTACATTGGGACCGACTGCTATTCACCAGCTATTAGTGGGGCCCTGTGGCTTTGAGGTTAGACAATGTGGTCTATCCACCAGCTATTAGTGGGGCCCTGTGGCTTTGAGGTTAGACAATGTGGTCTATCCACCAGCTATTAGTGGGGCCCTGTGGCTTTGAGGTTAGACAATGTGGTCTATCCACCAGCTATTAGTGGGGCCCTGTGGCTTTGAGGTTAGACAATGTGGTCTATCCACCAGCTATTAGTGGGGCCCTGTGGCTTTGAGGTTAGACAATGTGGTCTATCCACCAGCTATTAGTGGGGCCCTGTGGCTTTGAGGTTAGACAATGTGGTCTATCCACCAGCTATTAGTGGGGCCCTGTGGCTTTGAGGTTAGACAATGTGGTCTATCCACCAGCTATTAGTGGGGCCCTGTGGCTTTGAGGTTAGACAATGTGGTCTATCCACCAGCTATTAGTGGGGCCCTGTGGCTTTGAGGTTAGACAATGTGGTCTATCCACCAGCTATTAGTGGGGCCCTGTGGCTTTGAGGTTAGACAATGTGGTCTATCCACCAGCTATTAGTGGGGCCCTGTGGCTTTGAGGTTAGACAATGTGGTCTATCCACCAGCTATTAGTGGGGCCCTGTGGCTTTGAGGTTAGACAATGTGGTCTATCCACCAGCTATTAGTGGGGCCCTGTGGCTTTGAGGTTAGACAATGTGGTCTATCCACCAGCTATTAGTGGGGCTAGGTTAGACAATGTGGTCTATCCACCAGCTATTAGTGGGGCCCTGTGGCTTTGAGGTTAGACAATGTGGTCTATCCACCAGCTATTAGTGGGGCCCTGTGGCTTTGAGGTTAGACAATGTGGTCTATCCACCAGCAGCTATTAGTGGGGCCCTGTGGCTTTGAGGTTAGACAATGTGGTCTATCCACCAGCTATTAGTGGGGCCCTGTGGCTTTGAGGTTAGACAATGTGGTCTATCCACCAGCTATTAGTGGGGCCCTGTGGCTTTGAGGTTAGACAATGTGGTCTATCCACCAGCTATTAGTGGGGCCCTGTGGCTTTGAGGTTAGACAATGTGGTCTATCCACCAGCTATTAGTGGGGCCCTGTGGCTTTGAGGTTAGACAATGTGGTCTATCCACCAGCTATTAGTGGGGCCCTGTGGCTTTGAGGTTAGACAATGTGGTCTATCCACCAGCTATTAGTGGGGCCCTGTGGCTTTGAGGTTAGACAATGTGGTCTATCCAGCAGCTATTAGTGGGGCCCTGTGGCTTTGAGGTTAGACAATGTGGTCTATCCACCAGCTATTAGTGGGGCCCTGTGGCTTTGAGGTTAGACAATGTGGTCTATCCACCAGCTATTAGTGGGGCCCTGTGGCTTTGAGGTTAGACAATGTGGTCTATCCACCAGCTATTAGTGGGGCCCTGTGGCTTTGAGGTTAGACAATGTGGTCTATCCACCAGCTATTAGTGGGGCCCTGTGGCTTTGAGGTTAGACAATGTGGTCTATCCACCAGCTATTAGTGGGGCCCTGTGGCTTTGAGGTTAGACAATGTGGTCTATCCACCAGCTATTAGTGGGGCCCTGTGGCTTTGAGGTTAGACAATGTGGTCTATCCAGCAGCTATTAGTGGGGCCCTGTGGCTTTGAGGTTAGACAATGTGGTCTATCCACCAGCTATTAGTGGGGCCCTGTGGCTTTGAGGTTAGACAATGTGGTCTATCCACCAGCTATTAGTGGGGCCCTGTGGCTTTGAGGTTAGACAATGTGGTCTATCCACCAGCTATTAGTGGGGCCCTGTGGCTTTGAGGTTAGACAATGTGGTCTATCCACCAGCTATTAGTGGGGCCCTGTGGCTTTGAGGTTAGACAATGTGGTCTATCCACCAGCTATTAGTGGGGCCCTGTGGCTTTGAGGTTAGACAATGTGGTCTATCCACCAGCTATTAGTGGGGCCCTGTGGCTTTGAGGTTAGACAATGTGGTCTATCCACCAGCTATTAGTGGGGCCCTGTGGCTTTGAGGTTAGACAATGTGGTCTATCCACCAGCTATTAGTGGGGCCCTGTGACTTTGAGGTTAGACAATGTGGTCTTTCCACCAGCTATTAGTGGGGCCCTGTGGCTTTGAGGTTAGACAATGTGGTCTATCCAGCAGCTATTAGTGGGGCCCTGTGGCTTTGAGGTTAGACAATGTGGTCTATTCACCAGCTATTAGTGGGGCCCTGTGGCTTTGAGGTTAGACAATGTGGTCTATCCACCAGCTATTAGTGGGGCCCTGTGGCTTTGAGGTTAGACAATGTGGTCCATCCACCAGCTATTAGTGGGGCCCTGTGGCTTTGAGGTTAGACAATGTGGTCTATCCACCAGCTATTAGTGGGGCCCTGTGGCTTTGAGGTTAGACAATGTGGTCTATCCACCAGCTATTAGTGGGGCCCTGTGGCTTTGAGGTTAGACAATGTGGTCTATCCACCAGCTATTAGTGGGGCCCTGTGGCTTTGAGGTTAGACAATGTGGTCCATCCACCAGCTATTAGTGGGGCCTTGTGGCTTTGAGGTTAGACAATGTGGTCCATCCAGCAGCTATTAGTGGGGCCCTGTGGCTTTGAGGTTAGACAATGTGGTCTATCCACCAGCTATTAGTGGGGCCCTGTGGCTTTGAGGTTAGACAATGTGGTCCATCCACCAGCTATTAGTGGGGCCTTGTGGCTTTGAGGTTAGACAATGTGGTCCATCCACAAGCTATTAGTGGGGCCCTGTGGCTTTGAGGTTAGACAATGTGGTCTATCCACAAGCTATTAGTGGGGCCCTGTGGCTTTGAGGTTAGACAATGTGGTCTATCCACCAGCTATTAGTGGGGCCCTGTGGCTTTGAGGTTAGACAATGTGGTCTATCCACCAGCTATTAGTGGGGCCCTGTGGCTTTGAGGTTAGACAATGTGGTCCATCCACCAGCTATTAGTGGGGCCTTGTGGCTTTGAGGTTAGACAATGTGGTCCATCCAGCAGCTATTAGTGGGGCCCTGTGGCTTTGAGGTTAGACAATGTGGTCTATCCACCAGCTATTAGTGGGGCCCTGTGGCTTTGAGGTTAGACAATGTGGTCCATCCACCAGCTATTAGTGGGGCCTTGTGGCTTTGAGGTTAGACAATGTGGTCCATCCAGCAGCTATTAGTGGGGCCCTGTGGCTTTGAGGTTAGACAATGTGGTCTATCCACAAGCTATTAGTGGGGCCCTGTGGCTTTGAGGTTAGACAATGTGGTCTATCCACAAGCTATTAGTGGGGCCCTGTGGCTTTGAGGTTAGACAATGTGGTCTATCCACAAGCTATTAGTGGGGCCCTGTGGCTTTGAGGTTAGACAATGTGGTCTATCCACCAGCTATTAGTGGGGCCCTGTGGCTTTGAGGTTAGACAATGTGGTCTATCCACAAGCTATTAGTGGGGCCCTGTGGCTTTGAGGTTAGACAATGTGGTCTATCCACAAGCTATTAGTGGGGCCCTGTGGCTTTGAGGTTAGACAATGTGGTCTATCCACAAGCTATTAGTGGGGCCCTGTGGCTTTGAGGTTAGACAATGTGGTCTATCCACAAGCTATTAGTGGGGCCCTGTGGCTTTGAGGTTAGACAATGTGGTCTATCCACCAGCTATTAGTGGGGCCCTGTGGCTTTGAGGTTAGACAATGTGGTCTATCCACAAGCTATTAGTGGGGTCCTGTGGCTTTGAGGTTAGACAATGTGGTCTATCCACCAGCTATTAGTGGGGCCCTGTGGCTTTGAGGTTAGACAATGTGGTCTATCCACAAGCTATTAGTGGGGCCCTGTGGCTTTGAGGTTAGACAATGTGGTCTATCCACAAGCTATTAGTGGGGCCCTGTGGCTTTGAGGTTAGACAATGTGGTCTATCCACAAGCTATTAGTGGGGCCCTGTGGCTTTGAGGTTAAACAATGTGGTCTATCCAGCAGCTATTAGTGGTCTTATCAACATTTCTTCAAAATCAGGCTCTTCAATATTTGGTTCACATGTTAGTATCTCTGACTGTAAGTATTCAGTGGAGTTTCACAGTTTAACAATTCAGTAAAGTATTCTTTCCATGTGTTACTACATATCTCCTCATTATTATTTATCATGTTCCCATTGGGATCTTTTTAACTATATATGCTTTGTTGATGCCCTCGTTTTACAGTCTTCACTTCTTTTTAAAAAAACTGTATGGATTCGTTGGTCTAATGGTTAGCTTCCTTATCCATGACATTGTTGTTCATGTATTCTTGCTTTTGCATTTCAGTTTTAAAATTTTCTTCATTTCGTATGTTACTGGTGTCATTTAGCCAGATCTGCAATTCTCAGATCCGGATAAAAAGAGAAGCACTGCAAGGGAAAATTGTGATGTCAATATGTTCTTTTTTTAAAAGCTTTTGTATTTACAAGACTTCCACCCCCACTTATGCTGTTTTTTGTTTATTCACATCCAAGTCTCCTGAACACTGTGCAGGTGCACACAAAACCAATGGAATTTAAATCAATTTTCCGTCTGGGGAGAGTGATGCAGCAGTGAGTGACACGAGGATCTGGCTGATACTCGAACCTTAGAGAAAAGGCAAGACAAACGCATAATCAGAATGCTACTGGCACCATTGGTATTGGAACTCTGCGCAGGCTGCTGAAGATGGGGATGGAGCGCTTAAGGGAATGACCTAAATGCTATGATGTTGGTTCTTGAATCAACTCCATGCAACTCAAAAAATGTGTCACTGCAGAAATGCTGATGCATTGGCTATTATAGTAATGTGTCATAACTGGAGGTAACTAATTTTAGTCTTCCAAGGGAAGACAGGATAAAGAGGCAAAGGATTCTTCAAGCGTATTCCCAATCTTCCAGCATATTTCCAATCTTCCAGCATATTCCCAATCTTCCAGCATATTCCCAATCTTCCAGCATATTCCCAATCTTCCAGCATATTCCCAATCTTCCAGCATATTTCCAATCTTCCAGCATATTCCCAATCTTCCAGCATATTCCCAATCTTCTAGCATATTTCCAATCTTCCAGCATATTCCCAATCTTCCAGCATATTTCCAATCTTCCAGCGTATTCCCAATCTTCCAGTGTATTCTAATCTTCCAGTGTATTCTCAATCTTCCAGCGTATTCCCAATCTTCCAGCGTATTCCCATCTGATCAAAACAGCACTCACTAAAAACAGAAAACTAAGTAGATGCTGGTCTTACCAACTCTGCCAATATGGGACATAAGATGCTGGCAGACGCTGCATTGCTGGTAATTTCTGTCATGAAGGAGATGGCCATTGTGAGGATCAGCACCATCAGCCATGGTTCCATAGCTGCAAACATTGACAGACGTGATCCAATCCACAGAGATAAACCTGAATCCTGGTTAGACATGGACAATTATTGTTCTTCATTTCAAAATCCCTGTAGGATAAGAACACATACTGCATTTGTTACAATTATTTAAAATAAAATGGTTAATTTGGATATTGGGGATCCATGGTAGTCTGTTGCCTGTTGGTCCAAAGGTCCCGAGTTAAAATCACCATCCCTGTAGATCTTTATAACGTCTATGGCTTCCAGGTCAAAATTTGGTTGCGTATCCTTTACAGAACGTTGCAGAATTTACATTTAGTAGGTTGCCATTGTTTCTGAACGGCCAGGGCTCGGTACCACTGTCTAAACCAACGCAAAATAAATCGTCCGCAGCTGGGATCAAAGCGCGTTCGTAACGCCAAAGCCACAGATGCCGACCCGGATTAAAACGATCATCAGGAAATGTCCTGAAAGTTGAGGTGGCCAGCAGGAGACTAACCACATCCCCTTAAAGTTTCAGTTTAGCTATGGGCCTAGCACCAGATGATGGTGTTTCAATAGCGTAAATAGAACCCCTTACTTTCCTACAACAGAAAATTGTTAATCCATTGGTTAGTTAGACGAAGTTCTGACATCACTGCAAATGGGGGTTGCCCGATAATTGCTTGGCTCCTGTTTAAGTGGAAATCACACTTAATGTCCTTCACTGTCCGATTTGAAAACCAGTGGGGGGCAAAAAAACGTGTCAGTCCCAGCAACATTTTTAAACCTGCACATGGAAAGTAAAAATGCATATGGCAGCTTTAAGATGTGCCAACACCAACAGTCCTACACCAGAATTGAAGCTCACTGTTGGTGCAAATGGTATACCAAGAAAGCCGGCACTGCACCGGCATAATCACATGCCATTCTGAATATTATCTGCCACTCAGCATTTTAGTGCGGTCAAATACATGCTGCGGGCACAACAGAAAAAACCCACACAAAAATTAGACAATTAAAAAAAAAGGAGGTTAATTCGGGAGATGTGAACCAGTGTCATTGCACACGGTTATAAACCATAAGTGCTCTGCCACCAGTACAGACAGCTGATGAGAAACTGTCCGGCTGTGTCGCCGTCCGCACATAACTCTCCATTCACCCCAACACCAACCGTGGCTGCAGCGAGTGGCAGCTGGATTCGAAAGCGAGTCTCCTGTCGACTGTGCCAACGCGGCTCCCTAAATTAGGCAGTTTGACTATCTAACAGTGCCACAAGATTCACTCCCTCAAGAGCTTTAGCTTAGACCTGACAGAATCACATTCATACGTCAGTGTGGCAAATGACTGACTGGTGAAATATATGTGATTATAAATATAACTATGCGTAAAGCACACATCAAAGCTTCTTAATCTGCTTTTTACAAGCAGAAATAGGGCGCAAAGATTATAATGATGATTTGAATAAATATAACTCGTTAGTCTTTAGGTACACACATAGTAAGACATAGAGAGTTAATATTTTATGGATATGTTATGAGAAGAAATATGCTCAAGAAAAGTGATCATTGGAGTAGACAGATTTTTAGTATGTTATGACCAAACACACCTTTTTGATGTGAGTCGGTATCTGTGACTTAGACGTTGCGAACACCCTTTGTAATGCCAGGATCGATCCCAGCTGCAGGTCTTGCGCAAAGTGTTGGTTTTGACAGTAGTATCGATTGCTGACCGTCCAGAATGCAATGGCAAACTATTCAACGTAAATTTGCCTAGAAAAACCACAACAGCCAAACAATGCTGGGGTTAGTTCTGCAACGTTCTCAAAGAATAGGCAACTAACTTATGACCAAACATAAAAATTAACAGAACATAAAATCCTTCAGAGGGATCCAAGAGAAAGATTAAGTCACCTCACATTAAGTCTTAGACTAAGTAAGTCAAGGCGTATAGGGCATATAGGGCTAGACAAGATGGGTGATGTGGTCAGCATCACGCCGGCTGCCTTTACTTCCCGGGACTGCACCCTGTACCCACTCAAGGCTGGGTCGACCTGGGAGTCAAGGTCAATTTTGAAAAAAGTCTGGCTCCGCCAGGGAGCGAACCCATGACCTTCTAACCTGCACATGAGCATCTAGCCGCTATGCCAAGGCAACTCCCGCTCAAGTCTTAGACTGCAAGAGTTAACAGGATCACTCTGTTTCACTGACCTGGCAGATACTTGCTAATGCATACCCTCCTCCAAGCAGGCACCAAGTCCCCCAGGGGAACTGTGCCTGGACCGTCTTCCAGTCTAGCAATGCCGGTACTGATCTCAGGGGGCCCCTGTCTGCCAATGAAACAGAGAATCCCGTACAACAGTAGCGTGTAAACATGTGCATGTACGTGATGCAAGTGTGGGTACGTAATGTGTGTTAATGCAAGTAAGGGTGGGTGCGTGTGTATAATGCAAGTGTGGGTAGGTATGTGTGTACAATGCAAGTGTGGGTGGGTATGGTGTATAATGCATGTGTGGGTACGTAATGTGTGTATAATGCAAGTGTGGGTGGGTGTATGTGTATAATGCAAGTGTGGGTGGGTATGGTGTATAATGCAAGTGTGAGTACGCAATGTGTGTATAATGCAAGTGTGGGTGGGTATGGTGTATAATGCAAGTGTGGGTGGGTATGTGTGTATAATGCTTGTATGGGTACGTAATGTGTGTATAATGTAGGTGTGGGTGGGTGTATGTGTATAATGCAAGTGTGGGTGGGTATGGTGTATAATACAAGTGTGGGTACATAATGTGTGTATAATGCTAGTGTGGGTGGGTATGTGTGTATAACGCAAGTGTGGGTGGGTATGTGTGTATAATGCTAGTGTGGGTGGGTATGTGTGTGTAATGCAAGTGTGGGTGGGTATGGTGTATAATGCAAGTGTGGGTGGGTATGTGTGTATAATGCAAGTGTGGATGGGTATGTGTGTATAATGCAAGTGTGGGTATGTAATGTGTGGTTAATGCAAGTGTGGGTACCTAATGTGTGTATAATGCAAGTGTAAATAGGTGGTGTGTATGATGCAAGTGTGGGTACGTAATGTGTGTATAATGCAAGTGTGGGTAGGTATGTATGTATAATGCAAGTGTGGGTAGGTATGTGTGTATAATGTAAGTGTGGGTATGTAATGTGTATATAATGCAAGTGTGTGTAGGTATGTGTATATAATGCAAGTGTGGGTAGGTATGTGTGTATAATGCAAGTGTGGGTAGGTATGTGTGTATAATGCAAGTGTGGGTAGGTATGTGTGTATAATGCAAGTGTGGGTAGGTATGTGTATATAATACAAGTGTGGGTAGGTATGTGTGTATAATGCAAGTGTGGGTAGGTATGTGTGTATGATGCAAGTGTGTTTAGGTATGTGTGTATAATGCAAGTGTGGGTAGGTATGTATGTATAATGCAAGTGTGGGTAGGTATGTGTGTATGATGCAAGTGTGTTTAGGTATGTGTGTATAATGCAAGTGTGGGTAGGTATGTGTGTATAATGCAAATGTGGGTGGGTATGTGTGTATAATGCAAACGTGGATGGGTATGTGTGTATCATGCAAGTGTGGGTAGGTATGTGTGTATAATGCAAGTTGTGGGTAGGTATGTGTGTATAATGCAAGTGTGGGTAGGTATGTGAGTATAATGCAAGTGTGGGTGGGTATGTGTGTGGGCAGGGCATTTCTGTTCTCTTTCTGATGGTACGCAAAGGCATGCAGTCCTGGTATCTTGACTTTGAAGGCATTCTTTTATTGGGCACTATTTAAATAGATACTTTGTGATGCGTACATCATCTTTTATTAGATACCCTATGGTGAGTACGGGGACCTATTGTTTTTCCCCCCCTAAAAAGCCCTGTGTAAAAGTATTTATATTCTTCTTCTGCTTTTCTAACCCCCGAGGGAGCATAGATACTCAACCAGCTCAGGCCAAGTCGTTCTATACCTTGCGATTGCATGCAGCGCTCCCCCCATCTTTTTAACTTCACTCTTTAGCTCTCTTCTCCATGTTTTTTTGGGGGGGTCTTTCTTTATTTCTATGCACCTGTGGGTTCCAGTGCAAAGACATTCTAGTTATATTGTTTCCATGTTTTCTTGTGTGTCCTATTCAATGCCGGCCTCCTTTCTTCCCCTCTCAGTCCATTGGAACTTGGTTAGTTCTCTCCCAAAGCTCTACATTAGTGATTCTATCATACCATTTAATTCGCTCTATCTTGCGCAGGCACCAGTTAATGAATGTCTGTAGTTTATTAGTAATTGCCTTAGTTGTTCCCCATGTTTTCGCTCCATACAACAGTACTGATTTGACATAAGAATTAAAAATGTAAAGTTAAGTATTAGTTTAATTTCCCCACACCGTGTCATACTTCTACTAGAACAGCCTCCCCTCATCTTGGTTGGCTGGGTTTTTCTTGTATCTCTTTTTGCCTTTTTAATGGTTGGTTGGTTCTTGTGGCTATTGTGTTTACAGGATGAGGTAGGCAACCTCAAACCCCACCCTACCCTGGTCACCTCTAATGACATACCTGGTAGGGTGCAGTGGTACTATTCTTTGCTTCTTGTGTGGGCCCTGATAACACTAGGGAGCTGTATGTATATTGTGGGTCTGTATACGTGTCTCTGTGTGTGGATGTATTTATGTATAGTAATGCGTGTATGTGTTTGTATAAATGTCCAAGAAGACTAAAGAATATTACACAGGAGGCATTCAAGAAAGACGAAAAATAAGAGAAATGTCTGACAACTGCTGGTATGAACAGTTATAAGATATTTAAGAAAAAATTTAAAAGCTGGCGATATACGGGATACATCCTGAGGATAAGAGAACAAAGTATCATAACAGGCACTGAAATGTGAAACAGACTGAGGACACTAGGAGGCCCAGAAGAAGAACTCTAAGAAACAAAACTGATGGTAGAGGCCAAAAGTGCTGGAATAAATTCGATCCATTATATAGAAAGTGCCTGGGACAGAATGGAATGGAAGAATAAACAGCGGGCCCTGTGTGATGTTGAGCCATTATATAGAAAGTGTCTGGGACAGAATGGAATGCAAGTATAAACAGCGGGCCCTGTGTGATGTTGATCCATGATATTGAAAGTTGCTGGGACAGAATGGAATGGAAGAATAAACAGCGGGCCCTGTGTGATGTTGATCCATGATATTGAAAGTTGCTGGGACAGAATGGAATGGAAGAATAAACAGCGGGCCCTGTGTGATGTCTAGCAGCACAAGATAATGCTGACAAGGATGCATGCGTATTAGATGTCAGCCTGCTCACTTTTTCTTTCTTACCTTGTCTGTTTCAGAATATCTCCACTACATGCTGTGACTCCATTTATTGCCTGACCATTCTTCTCTCAGATCCCATCACTGTTGTTTCAAAGATTGTTTAACCATTCTTCTCTCAGATTTCATCACTGTTGTTTCAATGATTGTTTAACCATTCTTCTCTCAGATTCCATCACTGTTGTTTTACTGACTGTCTGACCATTCTTCTCTCAGATCCCATCACTGTTGTTTCAATGATTGTCTGACCATTCTTCTCTCAGATCCCATCACTGTTGTTTTAATTATTGCCTGACCATTCTTCTCTCAGATCCCATCACTGTTGTTTCAATTATTGTCTGACCATTCTTCTCTCAGATTCCATCACTGTTGTTTCAATGATTGTTTAACCATTCTTCTCTCAGATTCCATCACTGTTGTTTCAATGATTGTTTAACCATTCTTCTCTCAGATCCCATCACTGTTGTTTCAATGATTGTTTAACCATTCTTCTCTCAGATCCCATCACTGTTGTTTCAATGATTGCCTGACCATTCTTCTCTAAGATCCCATCACTGTTGTTTCAATGATTGTCTGACCATTCTTCTCTCAGATCCCATCACTGTTGTTTCAGTGATTGTCTGACCATTCTTCTCTCAGATCCCATCACTGTTGTTTCAATTATTGTCTGACCATTCTTCTCTTAGATCCCATCACTGTTGTTTCAATGATTGTCTGACCATTCTTCTCTCAGATCCCATCACTGTTGCTTCAATGATTGTCTGACCATTCTTCTCTCAGATCCCATCACTGTTGCTTCAATGATTACCTGACTATTCTTCTCTCAGATTCCATCACTGTTGCTTCAATGATTACCTGACCCTTCTTCTCTCAGATCCCATCACTGTTGCTTCAATGATTACTTGACCATTCTTCTCTCAGATCCCATTACTGTTGTTTCAATTATTGTCTGACCATTCTTCTCTCAGATTCCATCACTGTTGTTTCAATGATTGTTTAACCATTCTTCTCTCAGATTCCATCACTGTTGTTTCAATGATTGTTTAACCATTCTTCTCTCAGATCCCATCACTGTTGTTTCAATGATTGCCTGACCATTCTTCTCTCAGATCCCATCACTGTTGTTTCAATTATTGTCTGACCATTCTTCTCTCAGATCCCATCACTGTTGTTTCAATGATTGTCTGACCATTCTTCTCTCAGATCCCATCACTGTTGCTTCAATGATTGTCTGACCATTCTTCTCTCAGATCCCATCACTGTTGCTTCAATGATTACCTGACCCTTCTTCTCTCAGATCCCATCACTGTTGTTTCAATTATTGTCTGACCATTCTTCTCTCAGATCCCATCACTGTTGTTCCACTCAAGTTTATCTACTCCAGTATAAGAATGCAGGAGTTGTTGGATACCCAGGTCTTATTTTCAGTAAGTTTCAGAGATTTTGGTGTTTTTCCTGCGGGTAAAATAAAAACCCTAAGTTGCAAAGCTTATGGCGACTGCACTAGAACGTAGCCTTAACCCTGTTGCTCCATGAATGGTTTTAAAAGAAATGAGGCATTAACCTGTAAGAATGTTTGGAAAAAATCTTTTTTTTTTAATAACTATGTTTCCCAGGTCACTAATATAATAAAATAATATAAAGATATAAAAAGGCGTATTCAAAAAACATGAACAGAATAAAGCATTAAATGAAATACATTCAATTTGATGTTTAAAAAAAAAAGCAATATGTTTCTGGTGCTCATGCTGTGACCCCGCGACCTCTATCAGTGAGGCTTATGGGAAAAGTTGAGATCAACTTGGCTTAAAAAAATAAGAAAATCCTCTAAATGCCATTTTACATTATTTTTTGCATATCCTGATCTATTAAACACTGCACAGGTGCACAGTGAACCAATGGAATTTAACTACATTTCTTTTTGGAACAGGTCACTGCAGACATGGTCAAATATTAGACTTTACGGCAGTGGTTCTCAACCTTCCCAATGCAGCGACCCTCTAATACAATTCCTTATGTCGTGGTGACCCCCAACCATACAATTATTTTTATTGCTACTTCATAACTTCAGTCAGTTTGTGTTTTCCGATGGTTTTTTGGAGACCCCTGTGAGGCTGAGAACAGCCAATTTATGGGGATGTGGTACAACCCTAAGTGACCAGATTTAGCCTTCTTGGGGTTAAATAAGACTCACAAACTGCCCTGTCCTACTCAATAAAGTAGTCAATATAGAGGTAAAGATAAAGGGTTAGGAAGTTACCATCACCTGCCTTGAACCAACAGAAGACACGTGGCCATTCACTAGGAAACACAAACATGGACACGATAATTAGAATCCCAGGTGTGGAGTTGTTGACGAAACTGTGAATGAATCAACAGGTAAAAAACTGATTAGTTATTTCATTCAGCTGAAAAACATCTTCACAAACATGCTCAGCCTGGGGTAGCAGGATAATACAGTGTCTAAAAACATGAACATCCTACACGATTTGAGCTTCGAGGAGAACTGGCTTACAAACAGCATCCTGCCCTGAAAGCTGAGGTATTCTGGCCAAATTCAACATCATGGTGATCTGGAGAGAATGATGATGGAAGGTGTGGTTTCCCGAAAATGATGCAGAAGCAGACCTCCGCAAATGTGGATACAAAAAATATTGAAGATGCATTGTCTATGAAAGGACATAGGGCTTGAGAACTAGGTAGAGAAAGAGAGACTTTAAGGCAGGCAATTATTAGAGCATACCACCATACCATACAAAGCATACATGGAAAGAGAAGAAGGACGTAGAGCACGGGGTAGACCAAGAACAATTTGGAAGGATAACATCAGAGAAACTCTACAACAGCACAATGTGCCTATGGTCGAGGCAGCCAGAAGAGCTGGAAACAGAACCTTCTATCTCCCTCGACACCCACAGCGGTAAAAGAGGAAGTGAAGAAGAAGAAGAAGAATGATTGGAGCAATATTCTGTAAAAGACCTACAGACTGATGAATCTGCATCAGGGTAACTTTTTATTTGACTGAGTTGAGCTGACTTCAACATCACAGCACTCAGGACATTCCCGTAAGTGCTCCATCCTCATCTACAGCTTCCAACATATAGTTCCCACTCTGATGGTACCGGTAGCAGTCTGACTGTATGTCGTCCGTATTGACTTTCCCCTGAGCCTCGGTCAGATCCCCAGGTCACTCCCTGATGCACCATTTTCTTTAGACTGTGATTATCTTTTTGTGCTTCCGCAGTGTTCAACTCCTTCCAAAGGGCCTTGGCCACATCTACTTTGCATACATCAATTTATCACCAAGTGGAGCAGAATCATTCATCTATCTGCCTGTTTATTTTCCAGTACAGCTTTATCTCCTGGAGAAAATATTCCAAAAGAACGCTAAGTACACATATTGATTGGTCAGTCGGTCAGTCAGTAGCCTGTCCTTTGCAGAACCTGCTCCCATAACAACCATCCGGAAAACTTCTCAATCACAAGCAAGATGTCCTGCGTCTGATACACCCATCTGGAGGTCATCCGCCACATCCTGCACCCATCTTCTCTTTGGCCTTCCTCTTCCTCTCTTCCCAGGCATATACCCCTACATTATTGTTCTCTATAAACGTTCGTGGCGTTTCAAGTGACCATGGCTGGTATGGTTTCTCTGCAAGTTTACTGACTGGTACCAAGGAATATTCTGGAAAGTAAAGACGGTCGGTGTTATATTGACTACATTACCCATCGAGATCTGATTTGACTATAAGTGAGTAGTTAAACGTGTATGCAGACTGTTCATTCCTCGCCTTCCCAGCAGATGTACTTTAACTTTAAAGGAAACACCCCTAAAAAGTCACCTTTGGGAGGCAGCGGGTTTGTTCTTTTTCCGAAAATGCCCCCCCCCCTCCCCCCCAAACCAACCTGGGCAAATGTTACTCCAAAACTAAAATGTGCCCTAACATAAATGAGTGATAAGTTTAAACAGGATTTCACTAAAAGATTTAATTAAAATGTCAGCCTTTTTTGTTAGTTTCTCCGACACTTGCATGTTCTAGTTTGGTGAACGTGCTGTTAGGTTAGTTGCGTATCCTTTACAGGACGTTGCAGAACCAACCCCAGCAGCCCCTCGCTGTTGTGTGGTTTCTCTAGCCAAATTTACGGCGAGTAGTTTTCCATTGCTTTCTGGACGGTTGGCCACCTGATACCACTGTCAAAACCAACGCAGGGCGCATGGCCCACAGCTGGGATCGAACCCCGCATTACAAAGCGTTTGCATCAACTTAGCCACAGAGCCGACGGTGAACAAGCATCCACTGTAAAACAGGCACTTCCTAACCTAAACACCAAAAAGAACCGAACACACATACTCGGGTTTGAAGAAATAAGCCCATCCAACTCCACCAGGGATTTCCATGGACAACCACAAAACAACCAGCACAATGAAATGTCCCACAACAGCTTTCTCTGCAAACCTGAAACAAACAAGGAATCATGTACTAAAATTACTGACCTAATAAATGACATCACAACATACCAGGCCTACCTACAGATGCTCTGTCTCCCACAGCCAATATCTTACAGTGCTGATGTTGACTGTAATATTTTTTCAAAACACTGAAAGAAAAAAAAACCACACATGCAAAGGAACAAACGGATGTTTCTGCAGCAGCCTTTATCAACAAAAATATAGCAGCAAGGGGAAGAGTATCTAGGCCACCGAGAAGGTACAAGAATAACAATAAAATATAGGAGAAAAAGATCAAGAGGAATGACTCAAATACTTAAAGGAACATTACGAATAATCGGTTATTTTGTAATATCCTACCCCAGATGACGTCATAGACCAGCCCAACATTTTAGAGGGTGGTAAGACTGGGTTTCTCAGCTTTCTGATACTTTTAACGACCCCAAAACATCTAGAACTGGCCCTAACCGCAACCCACACACGTCCCATGTGAGAGTGCAGTCTAAGTCCCCCGAATGCATGCAGCGTATCTAACAATCAATCAATCAATCAATCAATCAATCAATCAATCGGCAAGTCCTTTACAGAACGTCCCTCTCTTCACAGCATGACTAAAAGTATCTGTTTCCCCAGCCAGCTCTCCAGTCCCATGTGCTTTCAATGCCAATGCTTCTTCAATGTCCTGCCTCGCCTTCCACAAACTGCACCCTCCATCACCATCCATGACATCTGATGTGGCCAAAATACTTTCGGGACAGGATGCTGTTTATGGGCCAGTTCTCCCTGATGCTGGGACTGAGCCTCGAGAGGCAGGGGGTAAGAAGTGTTGGTGTTGTGGGTAGTGGGTCCCCCCCCCCCCCCCCCTTACTTCACCCTAGGTCTAGTGAATATCTGTTCACGAAAGGAGCGTCCATTGTGGTGTCAGCCTCTTGACCTAGCAAAACCTCTCTTCCCTCAAGACCATTGTGCGTGGCGAAGAGTCACAGCCTCCCCGAGGTAGTCCTGGTAACAGGGGTGCGAATCCCCAGGCAAAACACAATGGATCTAGAGGAGCAAACCTCGATAATAAACCCGGTGCACCACACCGTACTGCCCCCTGTGGGAGGGAAGGAGCCAGAGGTGTGCTGAGCAGTCTTAGGAATGGAAACAAGTATGCTAACCCCCCTGAATACCGGAAACTATCATGAAGGCACAGGGACTCAGGACATGACGATCCAGTTGCCCCAACTACTCATGCTTAGGCCATGCTTAGAGCCATGAAGAGCTCAGCGAAACCTGCAGGCAATCTGGTGGCGGAGAATGAGCACACTGTGAGCCCCACCTTAGCTACGTGTTAAATGGGAAGGCAGAAACACAACCCATATTTCCTTTAAGACTGGTACAGGGCATTTCTAGCTGCTGCCCGGGGAGGTAGGTGATCCACAGACACCCCAGCACCACAATGCCATGAAAATTTAAAATTTAAGAATACATACGAGATCGGTCGTCGCCTCGTCTATCAAGGCCCGCGCCAGACAGAGGGAAACCAGGCTGTCATGTGCGAAAAAATGGCTACTGGAAAATTTGAAATAAATAGGAAAATCAAACACCCCAGGAGGAGGAAGAGTGGGAGGGAGAGCAAAGAGAACTCAGACAGCACAGCAAAAAATACACAGATGCTCAATATTCTGCAGCTGAACATCTGTGGAATAAGAAATAAGAAACTTGAACTTGCCAAACTGTTAAACAACCACAGGGTACACGTGGCTGCCCTACAAGAAACCCTGCATAAAGACTCTGATCTGCATCTCACTGGATATACTAGTTATGCCTGTAAGTGCAATGACTGCCGGGGCATAGTGACCTATATCAGAAATGACATACAAGGAGATGTAACAATGCTGTCGACATCTCACCCTACAGATGTGCAAAAAATAACTATCTGGCACAATGGAAGCAAATATACGATATACAACGTGTACAGCCCACCTCAGACAACATGCAACATACCAGAACTATACAAGACACAATACCATAAAACCCTTCTTGTTGGTGACTTCAACGGACACTCGCCACGTTGGTGTTACCCTGACTACAATAGTACAGGGAAATACATCGAAGATACTTGTGAAACAACTAACCTATTAGTGCTGCAGGACACAGAGTCTACACCTACACTGTTACACAGGGCCCACCTATCTCTCAGCCGACCAGACCTGACCATCTGCTCATCCGACTTAGCAGACGCAAGCTATCCCCAAGTCCTGGACGACATAGGAAGTGACCACAAACCTATACTCACAACTGTAAGCACCACCGCTAAATTACGCTTCAAGCAGAGAACCCGTTAGAATTTCCGAAAAGCAAACTGGAAACTATTTCAGGAAACATCTGACTGCCTCCTGGGAAGAATTGACAACAGCTGTGTGGAAACTTTTTGTGAAGACATAACACAAGCAATCCTGAATGCAGAGTCGAAAGCCATCCCAAGGGGCAGCCGGAAGGCATATAAACCTTTTTGGAATTAAGAAATTCAAAATACTATATCTGAAAGGAATAAAGCAAGAATATTGCTGGAAACTGCACGTTCAACAGAAGCAAAGATCCAATACAATAAAGCATGTGCCAGAGTAAAGCTTGTAGTTAATAAGGCTAAAAGAGATAAATGGACATAAACTTGCTCCAACTTAGACCTTAGAATGGAAATAAAGCATGGACTTTAGTTAAAAACCTCTCCGGAGAAAGTAGAAGGGTGAACCCAAAACCAGTGACAGATGGGAGTAAGACAATCACTGAAGACAAGAAGAAAGCAGAACATTTCAATCATTATTTTGCCTCGGTTAACAGAGCAGGTAAGCTGTCAGAACTCAATAGAACACAGCTCTCTCAGCTGAAGAAACAAGAGAGAGCTCCAACAGCCAGTGACTCCCTTTTTGAAAATAAATTTAGCATGGATGAATTAGAGCAAGCCCTGAAGAAATTAAAACCTAGAAAATCCCCAGGCCCAGATAAGATCAACAACGAAATGCTGCTACATCTTTGCCGGTCTGGGAGAGAAGTAGTTCTCAGGCTTATTAATAAAACTTGGAGGTCAAGCAAACTTCCAAAGGCATGGAGGAATGCATATATCGTCCCCATTCTTAAAACCAAAAAGCCTCCAGATGACCCCAAAAGCTACCGCCCGATATCCTTAACATCATGCTTGGGCAAAGTTGCAGAAAGAATGATAAACAGGCGCTTATATTGGTTCCTTGAGAGTTCTGGTGTTCTATGCCATGAACAGGCAGGCTTCAGAACCAACAGCTGTACAGAAGACCAGCTGTTCAGACTGACACAAAGAATACATGATAGCTTCCAGAAAAAGAAACACACAGTGGCCGTCTTTGTCGACCTCCAGCAGGCCTATGACAGAGTATGGAAGAAAGTTCTCCTGATGAAGATGATGAGCATAGGAATACATGGCAGATTGTATAACTGGGTGAAATACTTCCTGATAGATAGAACAATACAGACTAAGATTCACAACGCAATCTCTTCTAAAGAAGTCTTGGAGGAGGGCTTGCCACAAGGCTCATCATTGAGCTGTACACTGTTCCTAATCTTTATCAATGACCTGCCAGAACAAATCAAGGCCTTGTACGCTGATGACTAGCAATATGGCAGAGTCATGAAAATGTGGAAAGTGGAGCCCAAAGACTGATTGGAGACCTTAGAAGACTGCATGAGTACTGCCAAAGATGGAAACTCAAGGTTAACTGTGCAAAGACGGTCTACACAATCTTTACCAAAAGCCACCAAGTAGCAAGGAAGAATATTAACCTGAGGTTAGACAAACACCAAGTGATGAAAGAAGAGCATCCCACATACCTTAGAGTCACACTTGACCGGCAGCTCAGCCTCAAGAACCATATTGAAAACGTCAGGAATAAGGCATTGAGGCGGTTACAGTTATTAAAGAAACTTGCAGGTACATCATGGGGATCAGACAAGGAAACTCTGAGGGGCTTATATCTAGGATATGTTCGCTCTGTGATAGAGTACAACAACTCACTGCTTACAACTTGCTCCAAAACTAACCTAGAGTCTCTTGACAGAGTACAAAATAATGCCCTCCGATTAATCTGCGTAGCCATGCAGTCTACACCAACTGCTGCATGTGAAATCCATACAAATGTGGAACCCCTCGGGTTGCGGAGAGAAAAAGCCACTTTAGAAATTTATGAAAGATGCATTAGGAAAAATCGTAACCATCCTAATAGACATCTTGTAGAAAACTGGGAATACAAACAAAGAATAAAGCACAAATTGGTTTTACACTGTGTTAATGAAATTCAGGACAGATACCGCCTCCCAGAAAGATGTCAAGGAATTCAGAATGTTGCAAGAAACCTACCACCACATGCTCGCTTTAAAGCTCCAGAAGTCCGAATTAAATTGGTAGGCTAGGAAACCAAACAGTCCGACCCAATCGCTCTTATGAACTCATCACTAAAGACTGTTGATTCTCACTATACTGATGGCTCTGCATTTAAAGCTACCATTAAGAAGGTTACAGAATCTACACTGGTTATCCCGATGGATCTGTTGAAGAGATTTTTGATGCATGCGGGGAATTCTGTTCAAATTATGAAGCTGAAATAATTGCACTGGAAACAGCAGTATACCACCTAAAGACTGTAATGGATGTTTACCCCTCAAAGGTCCAAAATATTGTCATCTTCACAGATTCAATGTCTGCCCTTCAAGCTCTGGAGGGCAATGAACGCTGCAGAACTGACATAGCCAAGATAATCCTAGATGCTGATCAGCTTTTTACCTCATACAACATCAGAATAGTGATGCAGTGGATTCCAGGTCACTCCCGCACACCAGGTAATGACAGAGCTGACAGATTGGCAAAGAAAGGAGCAACACAAGAACAACCACCTACAGCGACAACCCTCCAGACAGCAAAAACACTGATAAGAGCTATAAACAAAGAGACTTGGTTGAACAGATGGGCCATGGGAGACACTGGAAGAGAGGTTTATAGACATATGTCTGGCCCTGATCCTAATGACAGCATTAACCATCTAACAAGAAGGGGCCAGGCCATCATCTTCAGACTTAGAACGCAACATACTCCACTCAATGGACACCTAAACAGAATACAGCCACAACACTCCCCAGAGTGCCAGCTATGTAACTACCCCTACGAAACTGTTGAACACCATCTCTTTGAGTGCCCAAAACTCAGTGAGACAAGAAGAACGCTACTCCCTCCGAGACCAGACAGGTGGAACACCTTGTACGGAGGAAAAGAACAGCTTGTGAAAACATGCAAATTCCACTACATGGCATTGGGCCAAAGGGCGAAAGCTCATGCGCCGCTGGATCAATAACAACAACAACTCCCTGATGCTCAACTCGTTCAGAATGTCGATGTTTTTCCTATTCTTGGTCCATGGTATTCTAAGAATTTTTCCATAACATTTTAATTTAAAAGCTTCAATCTTTTTCCTCAGTGATTGAGTGAGAGTCCAGAACTCGCAACAGTAAGTTGCCACTGGAAAAATGCATGACCTCAAGATTTTTACTTTAACCAATTTACTAGTGCTTTGCCATATTTCAGCTTCCATGTTGAGTTTCTAGGGATATATAATGTGGTAGTCTCCCCTTGATTTTCTCATCCACACGGCTGAGCTTCTCAACCTTCAGTGATCTTTTAGCGATCCAAGTGTGCGTTAGCCACACCAAGGTATGTTTCCATCCTCCACCATATCCTGAAATATTAGACTGTCCCGTGACCTGTGGATTTCCCCTGTTTGGGGTAGGATATTAAGAAAGCGCCTGGTAATCAAATAAAATAGGAATAATGATTATTGTAGTAGTAGTAGGTCGGCTCTGTGGCTAAGTCGATGCGAACGCTTCATAATGCCAGGTTCGATCTCAGCTGCGGGCCATGCGCCTTGCGTTGTTTCGACAGTGGTATCAAGAAAGCCGACCATCCAGAAAGCAATGCCAAACTACTGGACGTAAATTAGCCTAGAAAAACCACACAACAGCCGCTGTTGGTGTTGGTTATGCAACGTCCTGTAAAGGATACGCAACTAACCAAGTAGTATTCGAAATAATAGCAAAAATTACAACAATGATAGTAATAATTATAGTAATAAAGATACAAACATTAATAAAACAATAACTGTAACAGGATTTTTGTTTTTAAACACAAAGACTTACGAAAGTGGACCTAGCTTGTGTAAGTGAGCCCTGACGACTGATCTTGTAGCCTCAGTTTGCTCCTGGTCCCCACACCCATATCTCAGCAGTTCTCTGCAAATACAGAGCCAAGACCTCAGTAAGTTTTAGGTAAATATAGAAACTAACTAGTGAACTTAAAACCAACTTCATAGAATTCTATCACCCAAAAAAACAGACAATACTTTAACTTGAGCCTAGCAGGTATCAATGTTCAACACACCTTCATCTAAATCAGCGGTTCTCAACCTGTGGGTTGCAACACTTTTTTGTGTGGGTCAAACGACTTTTTCACAGGGGTCGCCAAAGACCATGGCAAAACACATATTCATTGAAGTTATGAAGCAGCAGGGAGTCGCCGTAGCGTTGGCGGCTAGACGCCCGCCTTCGGATCGGAAGGTCATGGTTCGCGCCCTGACAGAGCCAGACTTTTTTTCCAAAATGACCTTGACTCCTAGGCTGACCCAGCCTTGAGTGGGTACCAGGTGCAGTCCTGGGAAGGGAAGGCGGCCGGCATGATGCTGACCACATCACCCACCATATAAGTCAAGACGTGTACTCCCAATACGCCTAAAGAAATAGGTCCTTTACTTTTGTTTTGCCTTTTATGAAGCAGAATCAAAAAGAACTGTATGGCTGGAGTCGCCACAACATGAAGAACTGTATTAAAGGGTCGCCGCATTAGGAAGGTTGAGAACCGCCACTAACCTAAATAATATCATTACTCTTACGTTTATTTTAGCTTATTTTACCTCTCATATTTTTAGGTACAAAATAAATATACAGTCAGACAGTTACTGGTGCCTTCGGAATTGTAACTCATCACTTGCTGCTGAAGATGGTGACGGAGTGTCCCAAGTACTGTGACGTCAATACTTAATTCAACTTCAACCCGTCATATTTTCTTGTGTATTAGTATTTTTATTCTAATTACTGTTATTACCATCACAGACGTAACTGTCACTATTATTTCTACTACTACTTGCCTCGCTGTAGAAGGCACGGGTGAGGAGTATTGTCTGGATTTTTTCACCAGGGCATGCCGGTGTGTTGAGAAATGAACAGGTGGACAGAAAGAAACTCCGTCTCTTGCCAGCTCCCTCGCCTCGTGTACCTGTCTACCCGGGGTACTCCTGTGCCCACCTTTATGCTGGTTGGCCCCTATCCCTCTTTCCTGACACCATGTCTTCTGCTGCTGTTTTTTTTCCCCCAATCTGCAGTGACGCTTGATATAGCAAAAATATTCACGTTTCTGAGACGAGTTTCTGTTTACTAGCCAATCTACCCTAATATTCAGATCTTTCAGGACGCCAGTATTTCTACTCTTCTTGACCCAGGGTATTCTGAGAATATTTCTACATCATTTCAGCTCAAAAGCGTGAAATTCAAGTATCCATTTAGGTTACATTCAGGAGGTAGTCAACATTGAGAACTACAAAAACAAAATCACCACTGACCTCCAGCCAAAGAAGTGAAAGACCAGCCACAACCAGGCCACCAGTAAACAGAGAGCTGCAGCAGGCAGACAACACATCATCCAGGTGAGGAAGTTCACTCCAGACTCCAGGCCATAGGCAGCAAAAATTCTACAAAACATGTTTTATAAACTCGTCACTATGAAGGAAGATTACCACCATCATGTAGCGGGTCCTTTGCAGAAGGTTGCTCTCATCCCTGCCTGCCTGAAAGAAACTCAGTCTCTCGCCAGTTCTCCTGCCTCATGTCATATTCAAGGAGTCACTTATATCCTGTGCCCATCTTCGTGTTGGTCGACCCCTGCCCCTGGTTCCTGGTACCATGCCATCTGCTATAATTTGTTCCAATCCGCCATGGCGTTTGATATGACCAAAATATTTCAACATCCAAGACAAGATGCTGTTCATTTGCCAATTTTCCCTGTTGTTCATATCTGGAAGAATATCAGTCGGTTTATAATGTTGGCTACATTGTGTTTAAGTGAGATCCATAATTTACTTCTTCTTTGCAGCACTCACTGGCTGTAAACTCCAATGGAAAGTTCTGGTTGTACTCCACTTTTGGACTTTGGTTTTGTTCCAGAACTTGAGTTTTATGTGCACATCCCTTTATAGGTCTGGCTTATTTATATTGAGACTGATAGCTCCTTGCTTCTGCTTGATTGTCTGTATTCTTCTCTGTGTGTTTGACTGCGTGTGTGTCTATGTGGCTGCATGTTTGTCTGCGTGAGTGTATGTGTCTGCATATGTATGTGTGTGTGTCAGTGTGTGAGCATGTATGTATATATGTCTGCTGTGTGTCTCTGTGTGTGTGTTTATATGTCTGTGTGTGTGTGTCTGTATTTTTGTCTGAGTGAGTGTGTGTCTCTGTGTGTGAGTCAGCGTGTGTGTCTGTGGAAGTGTCCATGTGTGCATGTGTGTGTCTCCATGCATGCCTGTATGTATGCCTGTATGTATATATATATATATATGTATCCATGCATGTATGTGGGTGTAAGTGAGTGGGTGATCGTGTATGTGTGGGTGTATGTATGTGGGTGTGTGTATGCACGCGCAGGTTTTTGCATGCACTTTACAACTCATGCTTTTGTGTTCTCTTACAACATTCATAATATGCATATCATCATATGATCATAACATGCTTTATTATAAAAATACAACTGCTGTGCGAAAGATGGTTGACTGGAAGGGCCGGATGTAAGACATGTCTGCGTGCCCAATTTGTGACCCTTTGAAAATAAAGTTTGTTTGTCAGGTGGACGCACTCTGACTTTGAAGGAAACACCTCAACTAGCTGCCTTTTTCAACAAGCTTTCGGTGGGGGAGAGGGGGAGGGGCATTGAGTCTATTATCCCCCTCCCCCCACTCCACACCCACCCCCACCCCTAAAATGTGTCTTCCTAAACCCATAAGAGGAGCCCTTTAATTAAGTAAAGAATAGGAACAAAATATAAAAAGTTATGAAAGAGTTCTGGCTTAATGTCTGCTGCTGCTTCTTCTTCTTCTTCTTCTTTGTTCACTGGCTGTAAGCACCAGCGGAAAGTCCTGGTTGTCTGTCCACACAGACTTCAGCTTTGTGCTAGGGCCTGAGTTCTGCATGTACATCCGTACTAGCTTATTTGTGTGCAGTGGGTTGCTCTGGCAGATGCATTCTGACTTCAAAGGAAGCCTTTAATTAGTCGACTCCTACGCCATGCTTGTTGGAGGGGCAGTGGGTCTATTCTTGTTTTCTCTACAATGGCACCTCAGAACCCACACTTGGAATTCGCTGCTTGAACCTGTAGACAACTTTAGCTGAAAAATTCAACCTTTCGTGGACAGGTCAAATGGTCTGCCATGAACTGGTTGAGAATCTATGCTTTATTATGCAATGAAAAGTAGCAGCACCAGCAGGAGAAGAAGGAGAAGTAGAAGAGGGAGAAGGAGAAGAAGAAGAACAAGGAAGATGAGGAGAAAAAATAATAAAAAGGAAGAGGAGGAGGTGGAGACAACAAAAGCTGATAGCCTATGTTCAACTGGTAAATAAAAACCAGAAGTGGAATGAGCACAGACGGAGGTGACTTACGCATCTGCTTGTCCCTGCATGACCAGGTTGGTAGAGGAACCAGTGATAGAGCCGATACCTCCAAGTCCGGCAGCATAACACACACACAGACTCAGGGCCTTGCACATGTGCTTGAAGGGTTCACTGGGATACTGGTAGGAGCCGGTGTCATGTCTGTTGCAATATACCATGATATGACAGCTGGTTACATACATTCCTTGTTACATAGTTTTCTGGTTACATATATTCCTTGTTACATAGTTTATTTGTTACATATTTTCCTTGTTACATTTATTCATTGTTCCACACTTTTCTTGTTACATAGTTTTCTTGTTACACAGTTTTCTTGTTACACATATTCCTTGTTACATACATTTCTTGTTACATAGTTTTCTTGTTACATAGTTTTCTTGTTACATAGTTTTCTTGTTACATATATTCCTTGTTACATAGTTTTTCTGTTATATATATTCCTTCCTTGTTACATAGTTTTCTTGTTTCGTATATTCATTCCTTGTTAAAGTTTCTTGTTACAGTTTTCTTGTTACATATATTCCTTGTTACAGTTTTCTTTTTACATATGTTCCTTGTTACATAGTTTTCTTGTTACATATATTCCTTGTTACACAGTTTTCTTGTTACATGGTTTTCTTGTTACATATATTCCTTGTTACAGTTTTTTTTGTTATATATATTTCTTGTTACATAGTTTTCTTGTTACATATATTCCTTGTTACATAGTTTTCTTGTTACATATATTTCTTGTTACATAGTTTTCTTGTTACATTTGTTCCTGGTAGTTACATATTTTCCTTGTTACATTGTTTCTTTGTTAGAAATATTTTGTTTTCCTTGCTGCATAGTTTCCTCGTTATACATATTTTATTTTCCTTGTTACATATTGTGCTTGTCACATATTTTCAATTCTTACAATAGTTTCATTTAAGCCTATGCCAATGAAAGTAGAACCACTAAAGACATGGGAGCAAAGTTGAATGCATTTGAAAACAAATGCCAGAAGAAAATGTTGAACCAAAACGAGACGAAATCCAGAGGGATGAAGGAAGAAGAGAAATGCTGGTAATTATAAGACACAAGAGATGGCACTATACTGGACACAGCCTGAGAAGAAGAGAGCAGAGAATCACTAAACAGGCACTAAAATGTGAAATCTTCATCTTCTGCCTTTATCCAAAGGGGTAAAAGCGTTATGCCCATTTACAAGACGGCTGTGATAGTTGCACCTTTCAGGTGACACATCTGACGTCTGAGGGCATTTCTGTGTGTGTCCAGCTTACTTTCCCGGAAATAGGAAATCAAAGCAATGAGGAAATCCAGAAGATAGCCTTACACAAACATTGATGACAGAGACCAAAGATGCTGGACTGGATTCCACCCATATCTAAGAGACTGCTTGGGATAAAACGGAATGGAAGAACATACTGAGGGCATTGTATGACATATAATGGCACAACAGGGTAAAGATGATGATGAGGGCAATGATGGTGATGATGGTGGTGATGATGGTGGGGATGATGATGGTGATGATAGTGATGATGATGGGGATGATGATGGGGATGATGATGATTATGGTAATGATGATAATGATGATAGTGATGATGATGAATATGGTGGGGATGATGTATGACAAGCTAGATGTTGCAAGGGCCCTTTGGGAGTAACAGTGCAGAGGCACAAATAGATCATTACAGTCTGAGGAGAATGACGCTGCGAGGAGTTACCAGGGGATCTGGCTGATGCTCGACACTCAAGCAAAAGATGTGACGGATATACTGTCAGACAGTTACTGGTGCCATCAGAATTAGAACTCTTTGCTTGCTGCTGAAGACAGGAGTGTCCTGAGTGCTATGATATTGATTCTTAACTCAACATTCCACATTCAATCCATTTGTTTTCAATGTCAGTGCCTGAGAAGTGATTCTCTGTCGATTTATGATCCCGTTCAATTCTATGCGAAGAAGATGTCTAACAACATTTTATTGAATAATTCCATAGCATTTGTTTTTGTTAAAGAAAGAGCTTAAATATGACTTACACTGATGTGTTCACATTTCCAGTGTCTTCAACATCCTGTTCTTTCATTGGTATTGCCTCATCTGTAAGGATGAACACAAACACACACAAAGTACAAAGTATCAACATTAAAAATATATAGAAACCCTAGCTGTCACCATCATTACCACAAAGGATTCATTATCATCATTTGGTTGTGTCATTTATGCATTACACAGGTCCTGGGGCATAATCAGACATGTGCACCATGTGCAGCTACACAGGGTGGCACAATTTTAGGAAGGCATCATTTTTAGTATGGCACTTTTTTTTTAGGGGCACTAAATATAACTTTTTTTTTTTTAAAGTTATCTGAGCATCCTTCACACCTGGTGTGTCAAACTGAGGGTCACTGAGGGCCATATGGGTCGCATTTGGGTTGTCATGATGACCACACACAACATCTAGTTTAGTTTTTTTAATTTAAAAAAAACAAAATTTATATATTACATGTGTGCTTGCCCATCTGCAGGCTGCAGTTTTGACATGCCTGCTTTACTGCTTTACTCTCTAAACCAGCCTGGAGAGAATGAGGCATCTGGGTGTAACCAGAGGGTCTGGCCGGCTCACTATACTCAGAGGAAAAGCAAGACGGAACATATAACCAGACTGTGACCGGTGCTGGTTGCACTGGCTGCTGAAGATGAGGACGCAGCATGCTGGGAATGCCCCAAGTGTTGTGATGTCAATTCTTGACTCCACTCAACTCAACTCTGAACCAATCCTAACAATTTTTTACTGTGTGATTCTACTAGGCAATTTTACATCCAACAGATTCGCCACTGCTCTCTAAACTGTCGGCTCCAGATATCATTGTTGAAATAGCGCAAAGCGATCTGCTGCCAAACTGGCTGCAACTGAAATCAAACTGGGTACCTCAAAATTAGGAAGCGTGCCCACCCATGTCTAAGCCACAGAAGCTTTATCATTATAGAGTTTATCACTATGACACCTGCATTAGACTAGCGTTCTGGCATTAAACTAGTATGGCCATAGTGAGGCCTTCTGGCCTAAAATGGAGGATCAGGCATGGTAGAATGTTAAGCTTCAAAGCTATTTTTTTTTCCAACAGCAATTTGCTAATGCAGTTTCCACATATGGACAGTAGTCTACAGTTCTGCGGCCTGAGCTACTGAGTTTAGTGCTTGGTGCAGCACTGCGAGCTGGTTTTTTTTTCCTATGGAATGCCTTTCATTTGTGCAGCGGTTGTGTCAGGGTATTCAATATGGCCAGTAGCTGGTTTACGTGTAACCTGGTGAAAAACTTTATGTAATAATTCTACGTGTGAGTAGCCAACTTATCGTGCCCAACCACTTCCATCAACAACAAACTGCTTTTCTGGTGGCGACTGTTGGCTCTAGCACCTCTAGCAACTGAATTGTGCATTTACTGTGTGTGCATATCTATGGATTGTTCCAGGACTCATTTTTTTTACCAGTTTTTAAAATGTGACAGTGGGAACATTTCATTGAATTTTCACTGGCACAGGAACGGAGCAAGTATGGGGAAACCTGATTGCAGGAAAGCTGAAACCTCGACAAAGACTAAGGCAATAGTGATGCTAAAGCTTAGCCAAGAGAGGATGAGCATAAAATAAATTAACGCACAGTGCCTCGCGTACTTTTAATCAATTCTGAGAGGTGATCCTCAGTGCAATGATGATGAAATGACCAGCATTTTCTCTCTCGGTTTTCCTCTGCCTATTATCCTCTCCAACTTTCCCACTGTCGCGTGTACTGCAGTTTTCTCCTTCTCATGTCACAACCAAAGAATGTAGATCCTCCCTTTCTTATGTGGGCATCAGTTCTTTTCATGAGTCAACCGTGTGATGCTGGATTCAAATTTTTATAGACCAATCAGCAGTGGGTGGGTCAACATCCCGCCAGCCACCTTTACTCCCCAGGGTATCACCTGGTACCTATTTTAAGCTGGATCAACCTGAGGACCAAGGTCAATTCTGAAAACAAATCTTACTCGATGCGGACTTGAACCCACGACCCTCAGGCAAATATCTAGCTACTTTCCTACCACCACTTCCAAAGTCAGTTGTTATTACTTCTTTTTCCCAATCACCAGCTGTAAACTCCGGCGAAAAGTTCTAGTTGTTCGCACACTTCTGAACTTTGGTCATGTTCCAGAACTCGAGTTTGGGTGAACATCCATTTACAGATCTAGATTATTTATATACAGACCTTTCCTCGCCGCTTAGGTTGATGCACTCTGACTTCAAGGGAAACACCCCTAAGTGGTCGACTGTTACGACAAGCTTGTTTGATTTTTAGCTAAATACTAATCTTGGCTCACAGAATGTGGTAATGCTGACAGATGCAAAATCAGTACTTCCAATAATTAATTAAAAACTAACAACGACAGTGAAATTTATACATAGACAAAATTACTGATATAGACACACTATGATCACCTGGCTGGAGAGAATTTTCAATAGAGCATGGGCAGAGAGAAAGGTACCAGTGGATTGGCAAAGATCAGTTGTAGTACCGATCTGGAAGAAAAAAGGAAACAAGAGAGAATGTGGAACTTATAGAGGAATATCTTTACTAAGTCATGTGGGGAAAATGTATGCAAAGATCTTAGAAGGTAGGATAAGAGCAAAGGTTGAACCTCTACTGAGTAAAGCACAATTCGGTTTCAGGAAAGGGCGAGGTTGCACTGATGCCATATTTGCACTAAGACAAGCCTGTGAAAAGACACTCGAATACGATAAAGAGCTGAACGTGGTCTTTGTAGATCAAGAGAAGGCATTCGACCGTGTAGACAGAGATGTGCTGTGGAGAATTCTTGACGATTACGGAGTGCAGGGTCAATTATTAGACAACATCAGAGCCCTCTATGAAAAAAGTGAAAGTGCAGTAAGAACATCTAGTGGTCTTTCTGAATGGTTCAAAGTCACAACTGGTGTCAGACAAGGATGTGTACTGTCACCATTACTTTCCATAACATACATGGATAAGATCACTGTAGAAGCAAACCCAGACGTGTATGCTATAAAACGAATTACTTTTTGCTGATGATCAAAGCATACTGTATCAAAATGAATATGATCTACAGGAACATCTGACTACTCTCAACAACAGCTGTTT